TCTTCAATCTTGCTCGATGTCTGTCTTGTTTGGCTTCGATCCCTACTAGCTTCGATCTTATCAAGTACCTCGGTTCTGAACTCGGTACCCTATCCTCGTGATACGGCCTATTCCGTTACGAGGCCATCCTTCGATGCAAACTCCCCGTCTTGGTCAAATAGAAAAATCGGGTGGGCCCAATTTTAACCGTATACAGATAGTGCCTTCGTATTTTGAAATATAATGACAAGGAACGAACTGAGTCTTCGATTCTCTAGCTTGACCTATCATGATGTCATCATTGTCATGATGTCATCCTCGTAAATGACCGAAAACGACCCGTCAGTACGGTTCCCCAAGTCATTAATGAGTGTCAGTTGGTGGTCGGCCACTAGTACTTTTGAACCGTCGCTGTAAATCCCATAAATAGGCCCTCTCTTCATTGATTCAAATTTTACTTTCACTTTCTTCTCCAAAGCCTTTACCTCTCTCAAGTTTCTCCATTTTATGAAATCCTCAGGTTTTGTTGTTAACCCCTTCTGAAAACACCAAGTCCTACTACTTCCTTCTTTCTTCAAACTCATACAAAAAATGGCAAAAACTCAAATACGGTACCACAAAAAGAAGTTGCTTCATCTTCTCAACCGGCCGGCGGAAAAATGCGGTGGAACCCCGTATTGAAGAGTGTATTCCCGGGGTTGCGTGTTAAACTCCAATTTTAAAACCGATAAGGCTTCGTCAGTTCCAGGGAGATGCGAGCCTAAAGATAATTATGCTCAATAACAGAGAAATACCTCGAGCGGGTAAAGAAAGATTGTAACTGGGGGGGGGGATAAAGAGGTGGTGATCCTTACCACTGAAGAGGACATAACTACCCATGTAGAAGGGTTTTTAAGTATTTATACTTACCCTTTCACGCTAGGCCCCATCGTCCCCATCATCGTTGATTTTTATCGTCAGTATCAAATAATCCCAGGCCAAATCCATCCTTCTTTTTGGCGAATTTTTATTCTGCTCCGATTCTTCGTGAGCAAAGTCGAGGGGATGACTTTCACCCTCGACCACCTCATTAGGTTATATAGCCCCCGTCTCTATCGAGGCAGGTTAATAAAACTCCAACGTCGGGCCACCAATATACTGTTCTCGAGCATAGACGAGCAAAAGGACCGAGGCTGGATTGGCTGGTGTGTTCGAGTGAGGACTTCCGACCTAATCCCGGCTGAGAAGATACCATATCATTAGAGATGGAATATGAAGCGTAAGTATAATCCCACTGTTAGTTCTTATTTATTGTTTTTCCCCTTTACTTCTTCTTATCGATATTCCTTTTCGTGATGTAGCGGTTGCTTGGATGACTCGTGCAATTCCTATCTCGAGAGCTGGGTTCGGGACCTGGCCCCGAGCTTTATGTATGTCGAGCGCTCATGGCGCGATTTATTAAAGGGCCGATGGGAGGCCAAAAATCATGGTAGGCCTCCTTTTCATATATCTGATGATTTGATCAAAATGTCTCTCTTATACTTAACCAATTTTCTTGCATGTAGGCTTGGGCAAAGATGCGGTCATGAGGCCCCCATCTGGCGAGGAAAAGACTTCGGCCCCGGTTTCAAAACTGGCGAAGGACAACAAGATAAAAAAGGCCTCTGCCTCTGAGGATCCAGAACTTAAGAAAAGGATGGCTCATAAGCCGAGGAAGAACATCATCCCTCTGACTGAAGAATCTGTTCGGCATATAAGGGATGAAGACGAAGAAGAAAAAAATGACGGATTCATACTGGTCGCCTGGGTAAAGAAAACCATCGATGCCCAAAAGGAGGCTGGATCGATGGCGGTTGATGAGGCTCCGCCTCGAACTGAGGGGATATCGGAGAATGACTCGGGAAAAGTCCCCGAGTTGTTGAAAATCGAGGATGCCTCCAACCAAAGTGAACAAACGGTGGGTATATCTGAAGGGACCAGCCCTGAAGCCCTCCGAACTGAGGAGAACGCCCCAAGTGACTCACTTGGGGCAATAGTAATCAGAGACTCGCCCACTCTCCCTACATTTTCTGAAAGGGCGATTCGGGAAGCCCGAGCTTTGGGGACCCTCAAGGTAGACGGAGCTCATGAGGGAGAGGACCCCTTCCGCGATTTGTTTACAGGCATCGAGGATGCTGCCAGCCCGGGTGTCGCATCGGATCTTTTCTTCAAGGCTCAATGAGCCTTGAATCGGGTAGGTCTCGATTCCCTTTGTTGATGTCATATTCTTCTATTTTCTTCATAACTTTTTCTCTTTTTCATATAGGCTTTAGCTCTTCATCAGGAGGCTTTAAGTTTTGGGCAGAGCTAAGCCGATGTGAGGCTGACTTCCGAGGGCTTTCGAAGGAGAGAAATGCCCTCAAACTTCTTAGTGGGCAAAAAGAGGAAGAGATCAAGGATCTTCGAGCCGAGTTGGCCAAGGCTCACCAAGACCAGACAGACCTGATCGGGTAGGTAATGAAAATTTTAAAAACCCATGGGCTTGATTCAGGAACGGTGGCTAATATTTCAGTCTCACAGCTACAACAGAAGATTGAGAGGATCGAGCAGTTCCACGAGGAGACCAGTACGATAAAGGCGGAGTATTTGGGGTGGAAAGAAGGTATGGACCGTCTTGCTGCAGAAAAAGAGATTGTTCAGGCCCAATTGTCATCGATCGAAAATCAGCTCTGAGGCCTGAAGGAAAATAGTTCAGC